GACATGCACCACCATGCCTGGCCCTTTACTCACTTTTTACTGGCCAACTTTTTTCATGTGTTAAATGTTTAACACATATTTCAAATGTTTTCTGCCCCCTAATATCCTTTTTAATCTCCATAAAGCTCCCCAACTAAACTGACTTCTTCCACACCTGATGACCCATAGGACTCTCCTAGGCAGAACTTCGATTAGAACATGTTACAGCTTGTGTATAGATATCCCCCCAAGGCTGTATGTGGCTATAGGTGTGGAGTTGAGTTTTGAAGGTAGCTGATTTAGGGTGTGTGGATGTGGATTCAGAATGTGATGGAAAATGGAAGCCCCACCCTGGGGATGAGTGGCATCAATCAATAGGCTTGCAGCCTGGATGGACTATAAAGGGAAAGCAGGAAGCCAGGCTTGCTACCCAATGCTTTCTGCCTTCCCTGCCACACCATGAGTTGTTTCTCTACTATAATGCCCCTCTGCCATGTGCCACCCTGCCTTGAAGACAGCTGACCATGGACTGAAACTTCTACATACGGTGAGCTACAACAAACCTTTCCTCTAACTTTGGGTGTTGGGAATTCTGTCTCAGCAATGTAAAAAGTAAGAAAGAATACATATTCAACTCTTTGGTGAGGGGGGGCACAGGCAGGCACTGTGCCAGTGAGCTATATCCTCAGCCCCACATATTCAACTCTTTTTCTTTGTTTTGTTTCTTGAAAAATGATCTCACTATGTAGTCGTTTAGACTTGCCTTGAACTCACTATGTAGCCCAGGCTGACCTCAAATTCTGAAACCTCCTGCCTCACCCTCCCAAGTGTTGAGATAACAGGTGTGCATCACCATGTCTGGCTTCAACATTTAACAAACATTATGGAGTATCTGCTACATGTCAGGCACTGGTATGGAAACTAGGACAAGGTCTCTTCCCTCACAGAGTTTATATGTAATTTTTCCCATAGGCTTTCCTAATCTGGAGAAATCAAGAATTCATTTTTTAAAAAATGCAAACTGCTTTTTATTATCATGATAATGAATATCCTTCCTCTGTAAGTGAAGAATACTGAAGTGGCTAGTGCACCTGGGCCCATGGGGGATAAATCAGCCTTCTAGCTGAGTCGGGCACAGGGAGAAGGCAGAGACCCGCTGGTTGGGGATAGTGCAGGAGGTGGTAGTGAGTTCAGTCTCTTCAAGGTGGGCACTCCACAGTATGGAGCTGAGGTGTGGAGGTGGGGGGATGGCAGGCCTCAGGTGGCTCCTGGGAAGGGCAGGAGGGCCTGGGGCCCCAGAAGGATGGCAGCAGTGCGCTGCTTCCAGCTGGGCAACAGACGCTCTGAGGAGACCCTGTTCTGGGCTGGCACAGATGGGGCAGCAGAAGTTGAAGACTCCTGCTGGGCTGAAGGGCAAGTTTGTGTCCGTCATCTTGCACACAGCCTGGGCGTGAAGGTAGATCACTCATTTTCTGTATTCTACCACTTGAAGGAAGGAGGCTGGCACACAGCTCTGGCTTTCTCTTGAGCATCAGGACCTCCAAGGACAGGGAGTCTCCAGTTTCCTTTTGCTGGCCTGGCCCCACCGATGGACCTTCCTCTGGATCTCCACAGCCTTGCAGGGTCTCCAACTGACCCCAAGCTAGCTGGGCACTCAGAGATGATCTCCTCAACTCTTGGCAGGCTGTGCAAAGGAAGCTCACTCCCAGTCTCAGGGGAGCCCTGGGCAGAGGTGGGCTGCAAAGGGCCCAGCGGGGCAGCCAGGTGATCCTCTGTGTATGGAGCCCCCTGGTCCACTGGTCCCAGAGTCCCATGCAGAGAGGACCAGCAGTGGTGGCAGGGACAGCCTTGCAGCATGGAGCTCCCCCAGGGAGCAGCTCAGGGAGTCACCTATGACAGTGGGAGCAAGTGGGGTGATGCAGAGGGTGACCCCCAGGAAACCTGATCTACACTGCATGCTTTGTAGACAGGCAGGAGACGAAGCTCAATGGCAAAGTGCACAGGGCTCGGGATGGTTGGCTGTGGGGTGCACACCAGGCTCCTGGGGCTGTGGGCAGAGGGGAACCTGCCCTCAGGAGTATCATTCTGGCCAGCACTGCGCTCCAGGTCCTAAGGATGTCCCTGCGGGGCTGATCTCATTGAGATATGGGAAGCTGTATCTGCCAACCTGACCTGCCAGCTGCTGCTCAGGGTGGAGGGCCCAAACGAGGCCTTCCAGCTTGAACCTACCCTTCAGAAAGACAGTGTCAGAAGGGCTGTCTGCAGATAGCTCCATCACCACCACCACCCACCCCAACATAAAGGAGGAGGTTTATTTTGGCTCAGATTTTTTTTTACTTTAATTTTTTGGGTTTTTTTGAGACAGGGTCTTGCTATGTAGCCCAGGCTGGCCTCAAATTCACAATGATCCTCCTGCCTCAGCCTCCCAAGTGCTGGGACTATAGGTATGCACCACCACTGAAGTTGTCCAGCTCCAACACAGCAAGGCTGGTGGAAAGGCCTAGCAAAGGGAAGCTGCTCAGGTCATGGAAAGAAGGAAGTAAGAAAAGAGAGATGGAGGGGACTGCTGGTTAGCTCAGTTGTTTAAGCACCTGCTTATGAAAACATAGTCAGGCACAGTATACCTGGGTTCAATCCCCAGCTCCACATGCCTGACCAGACCCACCCTTAAGGCAGCCTGAGCCAGCCAAGAAAAAAAAAAAAAAAAAGAAAGAAAAGAGAAGTGACCTTCTGGGTCACACTGCACTGACCCACCTCCTCCACTCAGGTGCCCACTCCCAAGCACTCTTAGCTATAGCTGCCTTTGATTCAATCACTTTTCAAAAGCCCTGTCTCAGCAAAGGAAGCTTTGGGGACCGATCTAGATATAAACCATAATACTCACATGATTATAATTAAATTCAACAAATATTTACTGGATACCTGATATGTGGCAGGCTGGTTATTTAATAATGTTTATTTGGGTTCTTTTGCAGAACCGAGGATTGAACTCAGGCCCTTGCGCTTGCCAGGCAAGCGCTTATTCTACTGAGCTATCTCCCTGGCCCTTGGAATTTAATAATGGACCAGACACCTATTTTTTAAATACAATTTACCAGTTTATTAAACTCAGCCTTTTCTTTTCTTTTTTTTTTTTTTCAGTATCAGGAATTAAACTCAGGACCCTGTGAGCTTCTTGCTTCCCCTACTGAGCTATCTTCCTGGGCCCAAATCAATGGTTTTTTAGCACATTCACAAAGTTGCCCAATTATCACCCTCAAAAGAAACCCCCAATAGTCAGCAGCCACTCCTTCCCCCAGCTCTCCCCACCCTAGGGAGTGCCTGCTTTCCAGCTGTATGGGTTTGGCTGTTTTGGACATTTTACATAAAACCACACAATACTTGGTATTTGTGGCTTCTTTCACTAAACATAACTCCTTCAAGGTCATCCATGTTGTGGGGTGGGTTTTTTGGATTTTTTTTGTGTTTGAGACAGGGTCTCACTGTATAGTTCAAACTGGCTGAGATCCTCCTGCCTCAACCTTCTGTGTGCTGTGATTACAGGCCTGTGCCAACACACCAGGCTGTTGTGATATTTTTTTCATGTGTGTTTGCCTGTGTATCACCTGGAATAAATTCAACGATTGCTGAGCAACATCTGTAGCACTTTTTCATTTTTACTTTTTTTTTTTTTTAATGTACCCAGCCTGTTTTTTTTTTTTAATCAGCCAAAGTATACTGCTTATGATGGAGGGGAAATGCTAGATGTCAAATATACTGGGTTGTTATCCAAAGTCAAAGAATGAATTCTAAGGGACAACAGAGATTATGAGTATGAACATTTATTGGGGACTAGGAATGCAGAACAGTAATAGTAATAGCTCCTGAGAAACAGGAGGGGTCCTGAATTGGTTGCCTATTTTTACTTTTTTAGGGTCCTTGGGATTGAACTCTGGGGCTTCTGAGTGAAGTACATCTCCTGGGGTTTTTTCCTTTCTAGACAGGATCTCACCATGTAGTTCAGCCTGGCCTCCTCTAACTATAACTGTGGAACTTGGTCTACATAGTGATTCCTTGTCTCAATACCCTAGGCTTGCCAGGCAGGAGCTTACTCAACTGAGCTATCACCCCTGACCCAAAAATTAAAAATTGAGGCACTATCTCAATAAATTGCCAGGCTGTGTTTGAAATTTATGATCTTGCCTCAGTGGTGGGATTATAGGCCTGAGCCACCCAGTCTGGCAGCAAAGGTAAGGATTGGGGAGGAAGCAGTCCACCAGTAACAAATGTCTGTAATCCTTGTACCTCAGTAGGCTGAGGCAGGAGGATTTGAAAGTTTTAAGGCCAAATTGGGCAACTTTGTGAGATCCTATGTCAAAGGGACCTGAGTTAAATTTCCAGGGGGGGGGGGGGGGCTCTGAAAAGACTTTCTAACCGCAGGAACCACTAGTGGCCTCCTTGCAATGTAGCGTTAAGGTGGTTTTACAATAATACCGACACTTCAACCGGCCTGCAAACTGCAGGGAGATTCACACAGTACTTCTAAAGTTCCCCCATAGGGTCGGTCAGATAGCTCAGCTGACTAAAGAGCTTGCTTAGGCAGACGCAGGGACCCGGGTTCCACCCAGGCGTGGGGTGCCGACCCCAACGCGGGGCGCCCTGAGAGGGCGATTGAGACCCGGCGTAGTGACGCACGTGTAATCCCAGCGCTTGGGAAGCTGAAAACAGGAGAATGACAAGTCTGATCTGTGTAGCGAGACCCTGTAGACCCTGCACAAAATACAGAAAAATAAAATGAAATAAAGTTCCCCTTCACATCGAACGTTCGCGCAAAGCATGTAAGGAAACCAGCTCCACTGCAAGTTTAGCGTAGCGAGCGAGCGACGCCGGACGCGGAACTAGAGAACAAACCGCCGGGCGCCACGTCCAGGCCACACCCCGCCCCCCACCCCCACCCCGCGCTCCGGCGCCTGCGAGCCAGCCCAGACCCGGGAACAGGGCACGATTGGCTAGGCGCGCGTGAGGCCGCCTTCCGGAGGGCCGTACACCCGAGTCGCAGCCTCGGGGAGGAGCTGGTCTATATAGCACTGGTGGCGGACTCTGTTGAGCCCTTAAAGGCGACTTCCGGACCGGAAAATTGTGCCACGAGGGGCCCGCCCAGAAGGGTCACGCTCTCGAGACGGAGGGGCGGGACCCGGCCCGGAAGCGGAAGTGCGGGCCGCGCAGTCGGGTCCGCTGAGAGCCCGGCCCTGCCTTCTCCCGTTCCGTCAGGCGGTCGTGTCGCGCCCTTTCTCCCGCCCGCGTCCCGCTTGCCGGCCCCACCATGCTCTCTCTAGACTTTTTGGACGATGTGCGGCGAATGAACAGGAGGCAGGTGAGGCTGGCGCTCTCCGGGGTCCCGGGGTTCCAAGTGTCCCTTTGAGGCCGGCGCGGCGGACCCGGCGAACCTCTGGACCTGTCGTGAGGGCTTCTCGGGTGTGACGCCCGAACCGTCCTGCCTTCGGAGTCTGTGGCCTCAGGCCGCGCCGTCCGTCCGTCCGCTGTGCTTATCCCGGAGCCGGTTTGGGGCCTGCCTGGGTGGAGCGCGAGAGTCTTCACTTCTCCTTCCTCCCAGGACGGCAGCCGGGAGCGCGGAAACCGCGGGGCGCTCCTGAGTGGGCGTTGGGGCTGCTCTTCTGTGGACCTTTTCTTCACCTGGACGGCCCCGGCGGGTCCAGAGAGGAGGGCTAGCGCCTGACCGCCTCTCCGGCCGCTGGGGCTTGGAGAGGGGCATGTAGGCCCCGCGGAAGCCTGGCTGCTGCCTTCATTGTGCGACTCTTCTGGTCTCGCTGGGGCCGCGAGCCGAACCGACTTCTTCGAGACCACTCTGAGCTCGCAGTCGGAACCGTCTGCTTGTCCATGAGTCCCCTTAGCCCTCTGAGTCGGAGGTTTTACTCCGATGTAGGTGGCACAGTTTGCATTTTGTCCTTAAAACTTACTGTATTTTCTAGGTCGTATGCCAGAAAATCCTGAGAATCCTGTTATGGTTTAGTCATTACAAACGGTTGTGCCTTTTTGTCCTCAATGCCAAGTGTGTCTGTGGAGTCTAGTTTTGCTCCCCGCCGGTTTTTTTGTTTTTTTTTTTTTACCCCTGTCAAGAGTTATTCAGGGGCCGGGGAGATGGCCCAGTGGAATAAGCACTTCTCCGGCAAGTGCAAGGGCCTGAGTTCAATCCCCGGTTCCGCAAAAAAAAAAAAAAAATAATAATAATAAAATAAAAAAAATTATTCTGATGTCAATATTAAAATTTTTTTCTTGAACTTGAATTTTGCACTGTTTATAATTACCGTTTAGGGTAAGTAGGTATTTAGCCTCCCCTTACTCCCCTTCAGGCCTTACTAGCTCAGTATCCTGAAGACCTGAAAGATTGTGCGATTCTAACAAGGGCATTAAAAACAACCTCGAGGAGGAACTGGCATTTAAACTAGGTCTTGAAGGACTTTTATTTATTCATGCTAGGGGTTGAACCTAAGGCCTCACACATGCATGTAGTAAGTAAGCATTCGCACTACCACTGAGCCCACACCTACTTTCTGAAAAGCCTCATTTTTGTGGTTTGGTTAGCATTTTGGAAATTCAAGATGAAAAGAAAGGAAGGCAGTTGATGGAACACGTGCAGACCTGCTATGTGGTAGAATGTGAGACTGCGGAGGTGTTCAAGGTACCCCTCCTGGCTGTTTATCACACTAAAAGAGAAGCAGAGAAATATATTAATTACCTTATTACAGAATTTTATAAGAAGTATTGTAATAAAGTTACTAGGGAAAGGAAAGAGAGACATGATCAGAGAATGAGGCCGCGCTCCTGCCTCTGTTTTCCTAAGACAGCATAATTGTGCATCATGACATTTAGGATTAGTGGAAGTTTATGTGGTTACCCTGCGCCCCCCCCCAAGATTATTAGGAATAAATGGCAGAGATTGGATGGTATGAGCGGGGAGGGACAGAGTTATAAAACATTTTACCTAAGCATATATATATAT